AGTGGCATCTCCTTACACTTCACGAGGTCATCTTCACGGATCCGGGCAAACGTGATGACGATAGATACAAGAGCGAGCCATTGGAAACTTGTCATTAAGCCTTGCCAAGCTGGTATATCCTCGCCCATATCGGCCGAGTTGTCACTAGGAGCTGTAATGACCTGATCGAGCGCGAACAGAAATCGGCCAGCAGTCAGTAGTCTATCTTCATCGATGTAACGTGGGTTGAAGACGTGAGCGTGAAAGTTCGAAGCAGGAGGAGCTCCACATATTTTAACGCTGTGAGATATGACCCATTGCGCGCCTCTCTGCACTTCCTGGGAGGACAGCTTCGCGTTTTGGAGATACTTCGCACCGTATCCGTAAGCTTCTGCTCGATGTTCATAGCTAGTCCCCGTACTGTTTTCGTCGTTCTGCAAAGTGAACAGAGGTTCCTGTGGGTCCAGAGGATCCATCAGCGATACACTAGCCTTCTGGTTCTGGCTTTCTTCGACCACGACGTTATATGGCGCATCGCCAAAGCGAATTTCGGTTCCCTTTATCGTTATCATCAAACTCAGGCCAAGGATGTGGTGACACCATACGACCACGGTACTGATTCCAGTGTCACATCTCAGATGCAAGAGTCTGTGCTCTGGGAAGCTCTGCAAGGATTGCAACCACATTAGCAACCCTTGCAATACAGCAACCGGCAAAGAGCGGTCTTTGAACTGTGTGTTCGAAAACTGGTTGTTAAGGCCGTCCAAAGCCTCGTGTATCTTGTCCTCGGCTGCATCGTACAGATACGCCCATCGGAATGCTGCCGTCTGCTGTTGGCAAGCTCGAATTGTCCCCAGTAGCGACACATAGTCCGGCACGATCCCTAAGTCGCCATTTGATTCCTGTACAATTTTTTCGATCGCGTCTACAATGGCGTTTGCCAGAGGCTCTTCTTGATGCGCAAAGGCCAGTCCGGAGAGCTGAATGACCATTGAGAAAAGAGGGGGACTTTTCAGTGCCTCCTGGACCGTTGGTCCACTTCCAGACTCCATGATGATGTCCAGATATCTCGATATAATACTCTGATCGGATTTGGCAACCATCTCCCGAAAATGGAATTTGATAACGGGATCGATGCGGTGCCTTCCGATCAGGTTGGCCAGCTTAATTTCTGTAATGAAGTCTGAGCCCGATTTTTTGATGGCGTCAACCAGAGCCAGGGAGCCGAGTGCTGACAGGGCTTGGCTGATGGGATTGACAATATTGGTGAGCTCCAGACCCAGCTGAAATTGCACAGGCATAGCCACGTCTTTCTTACACCAGTGTGGAGAAAGAGGACGGGATGTTAGAGAGGTTCCAGCCTAGCAGCAGTTCCTTTGTAGACGTGAGAGCGTGTTTTTGTGCTGCACGCATCTATTTGGCTTGATCGCGTTGATACAACGTTGAGAAAAATGAGACGTAGCCGCACCCCTCCACCCACAAGGCTGAGATATGCAGGCTGTCACAGCGGCTCCGAGAACGGTTAGTGAAGGAATCGCTTGTGTGACCTTATGTAGTTACACCAGTTCACTGGAGATCTTAGAGTAGATAAGCTTAAAAGCGAGGGCCGAAAAGAGCAATGCGCAGTATTGCCCGGAGACTTTGAACTGCAGGAGATGAAAAATGTGTCAGTCCCAGGTTTGAAAATATTGGGCTTTTAGGGGGTCACCAAAGTCCGAGAGGCAGAAAACCTTGTGCGAGCAATAGTATCAACAAGATTCGCCTGCTCGCTCGAGGCCAATAGTTTTGTGGCACTTCGTGTGTTCCTCCGTCGTTCTCAAGGCCTGCAAGAGCCTAGGCCCGATCGTGACTTGTTGGTATTGTATTTGGATATTTTCGCAATTGGGTTCCAATTTCCACAGGATACGAACAGGTTGAGTGTGATGGGCTCCGGTTTGATTTCTGTGATCCAGACCTGCGAACAGTGTCATTCGTCTTTGCTATCGACTGCGTGCCTGATCTTTCATTGCAAGAGATCGCGCCGTCATTATTCGTCCGTGTTGACGATATCAAGCCTATACTAAGGTATATTGCCCGAAGCCTTCACGATCGACTCACTTATATTATTCGATTTTCAATGGTCTTCAAGCTGATCTTCGATTTGGCGTCGGCTTCATAAGTCCATGGCGAATCGCATAACATCTGCCTCTAGGTCAATCAAAATTCTTTCGAGGTTTGCGCAACCCTCTAACGCGTTATTTAACGGCTGGTTTGGCGGAGCTTCTGATGGTTGGGAGAGTCCATGAGAAGAGTATCGACAATCCCCAAGAAGAGATTCTTAGGCTTGTTGGAAGATTGTGGGCAGAACGTTCAGCACACGAGAGTGCTGGGTACCTATCTACTCCGACCCCCGATCAAACCGTCACGCAGTTTGGGGTGCTCCGATAACCCATGGTCAAAAAGCTACCACATGCCGTCGAAGTTGCTATTGGAAAAGTCATGAAGGCCTGTGCCGCCTTGCCACCACGGCGCCCCGAGGCCCAAGGCCCAAGGCCCAGGCAAAACCAGCCATCTGTTCGTACGCGGGCTAATTACCGAATCATACCCCGAAACTATGAATCCTTACCGAATCATACCCTAATTACTGAATCATACCCCTACACCAAAATTGGGGTTGATTCGGTAGGATTAATTGCTTGGGGTATGATTCGGTAATTTAAAACTTGCTGTGTAGACTATTGGGAGTGAAGACTATTGTGAGAGTCCAGACTGGGTGTAGCTAGTAGACAGGCTGGGGGCCAATTTAGCCCACTGTTAGTAGCACCCCACGGGGCGCCCCTCGGGGGCCCTATTTGGTCCAAATAGGGGTGTCTGGCTATCAAGCGCAAAAAGCCTGTCCCGGGGTGCCTGCGCTTGACAGCCAACACCCTATTTGACCTGAATAGGGCCCCCGTGGGGCTGCTTAACACCCACTCGGCTTTCGTCTGATGTACCTTATTTGCCGATAGGTACCCATTGAATACGGTCGGAGATATTTTCTTTTCTATGGTCGGATGGCCCAGGTGATTTTCCTTGGATTTTTATCATGAATACAATTACCGAATCATACCCAGTAATATTACTATCATACCCCTAGGGTATGTTCGTAATTAGGGTATGATTCGGTAGATTCATAGTTTCGGTATGAATTAGTAATTGCCCGTTCGTACGCATTCGTCTCCGAGGTAGCATTCGTTCCTTGTGGTAACAAAGCGAGCACAGCTCTTGCTGTATACTCTGTAAGCCGATCGGCAACCTCCACGCCCAGTGTATCACTAGCGTCTAGATGCACCAGCTCGTGCAGAATGATAGAGCCCCAGGAGACAGCGCCAGGAGTTCCCGGGACGTCGCTGCAGGGCTGGGGAGTTCGGCGGATCTCCACTAGAGTCTGTGGATATATGAACAAGACGAAATGATCGGGGCGCCCAGACCCTGTCTGTAGCGTATATGTGGGTCGGAAGCTTCAAGGTATATTACCTAGAACTTTGTGATCTGTGCAGGCGAGCACGACATCGAGGGTCTCAGGCCCCATGAAAGCTGCGACGCGGCTGAAAATGCTGTTTACTGCGTTGAAGGTGACGAAATCGAGGGAGAAGAAGCAGGAGAACGGAACAGTGTGGTGTCAGACCAGAACCTTCTTTCCCAATCGGGTTAGTATGAGGCTTCACCTTCTACCTACCTATTCCATAGCCCACCACTCAACTTTCGCACAACGCTCATGCTATATTATTGAGCTATAGAAAGTAGATATACGTATTTAAAGTACTTAGTAAGGCTAGTACCTCTTTAATTAGCTTTAAGGGATATTTATATCTTTATAATTATATTAAATAAGATTAACTAACTCTAATAGAATTATAGTAATTATAATTTTAAAAAGTACGCATTTATATTAAAGTTATTAATAAATATTATATTAAAAATAATAGATGAAGATTAGAAATTATTAATAAATAAAGTAATTACTATTCTTAAGACGGCGGTAATATTTATAAAAAGAGCGAATAATAAATTTAAAATTTAGATAATTTTAAATAAAATATATAAACTAGCTATTAACTTAAGTAATTAAGATAGTAATATAAAGAAAAAGATTATATATATTAAGTATTAGATAATTAGTCTAGAAAGTAATATATCGATAATTAGCTACGTTAGCGTATTAGGCTAATTCTTAATATTCTTCTCTATTATTAAAGAAATCTCTATTATATTATTAATAATATTAAAATAAGATTAAGTATTATATAATAAGCTAAATAAGATTATTATAAAGCTATAAGATAAAATAATAAGTAAGATATTAGAGAAGAAGATATCGAGTAAGATAATTATAATAGTTAATAAATATATAAAAAGTATAAATACTATAAGAAAATCTATTAAAATAGCTAGAAGGCTAATAAGTAGCGATATATATATTATAGCTATAAATAAGAAGAAGACGAATAGATTAAGAGAAAGTAAGAATTAGACTTTAAAGATAAATAGTAATATGAGAGTAATTATTAAAATATATAGTCTTCTACTCTATAAAGTAAGAATTAATATATTTAATATTAAAGATATAATTATAATAATTAAAAGAATTTAGAATAAGAATATTAATATATTAAGTTTCGATATAATATAGCTAAGCTAGTTCGACGCGAATAAAAAAGATTATAATAAGAATTTATTAATTATCGAATTAGTATTTCTAGAGAAAGAAAATAGAGTATTAAAAGAAGATCTAATTATCGATTTAAAATTATATAGCTATTACGTCTATAATAAATAGTATAAATCGAAGTAATACTTCGTATACTGAAAATATAATTATCTATCGACTATATACTCTAAAAAGAATTACTTAATATACGAGAAATACTTAGAGAAGTATTATTATAAAGAATATACGATTAATACTCGTAAATATTCGATTTATAAGAGATTATATAAGATTTAAAATAAGATATATATAGTAAAGAAGAGGGAGATAGCGAGAATAAGAATAATAAGATAATAAATTTCTTTATAATTTATAATAACGAAGAAGGTATCGACTAGCTATTAAATAAGCGTTTAATTAAATAACTACTTTTAGAATATATTTAATTATAAATAAAATAAGAAAATTTTTTTAAGATTAATATCTACGCGCGATAAGCTAATAGATAAAGATAGAATAATTAATAGAGAAGGAATTAGAGCGCTAAATCTCGAAAGAACTATTATATTAAATCTTTAGTCGAGTAAAAGAAGATATATTTTTATATTATTAATAAAGGTCTTATTTAGAAATAAATCGCTCTCTAAAATAATAGATAAAGTTAAATAATATAAAAATAATATAGCGATAGAGGAAATTAATAATTTTAAGAATAATAGATAGCCTCTAAGTTAAAAGAGTAATAATAAGAGAATTACGATTCTCGTTAATAGAAATAAAAAGAGATATATTCGATTTATTAATAATTAAGAAAAGGAGAATACTTAGAAAGAAAATATAAACTTTATAAACTAGACGAAGTAAGTAAGTAATATTAATAATAATATTAGAAAATAGTAATATACTTTAATTAGCTATTAATACTATAATATAATATAAGAAAATCTAAAATAATTATAATAGAAATTTTTAATAATAAAAAGATCTATAATATTAATATAATAGTAATTTAGAAGCTCTAGAGAAACATTAATATAAATATATTATATTATCTTCTAAAAGATAGATTTAACTTAATCTATCTCTATTATAATAATATATAAATATACTTCTATATTAATAAGAGAATATTATTAAAGTAATAATATTTATTATATTACTTATCGAACCTCTATACTCTTAATATTAAGTTTAAAAATAATAGAATTATACGTATATATAATATCTATAACCTCGACGATTAATAAATAAATGAACTTAATAAACTATATAAGACGCTTATAAAGTCTAAAGATAATGAATAGATTATACTAGGCGACTTTAATCTATATTATACGATATAAAGAAAATTAAATACTTATATTAATAAGAGAGTAGAAGAATTAATATTTATAGCGAAAGAATTCGCTATAAAATAAGTATTACTAATAGAAATAATAATAGATCTACTATTCGCTATTTTAGTATTAATAATAAATATTATTAATTATAATATCGAAAACGACTTTAAAAGCGAATCTAATTATCTTTTAATTTTTATAAAGCTTAAGCTAGCCGTAATAGAGTTAATATTAATAATACGCTAAAACTTTAATAAATTAGATATCGAGGTTTTAAGAGAGATACTCGTTA